TTGGTATTATTTGTGTTTTATATAATACTGATTTATATAACATATTACTTGTATGAATTATGAATTCCATAATTGGGAGGTATTTTGTCATTGTACAATATTCATAACTTGCATTTGACTTAAAACTAATTCAACGAAAATCTACTTAGGAAACCTTAAATATTTGCTTGCCTTGTAGCTGGTTTTGTACATCACATTTTTGATATACATATAATTTGGCAATAGTTTCCGGCAAAATTCAGTTTAACCATTTATACATAATACATTTGAGAAAAAAAACATAAGATTTGATTTATTTTTACTTGTTATTAAATTCTTAAAATTATTATCTAATAAATATTTAATAAATGTTCATTCAAGAACATTTTTACCGGCCATAAAAATTCTTAATACATAAATAAATTACATAATACAATTTTGTTTAATTATAATTTAAGTATTTTCAATTATTTTATATATATAAAAGGCATATTATATATCATTAAATATAGAATTTTATTTAAATATAGTTTTGATTGTCGCTTTATTAATTATTTTTTACTTTACAAAAAATAATATAATATAAGGTACATCGAATTGTACTGAGTGAAATTGATATCCTTATTGAGAGAATATTGTACAATTGTAATTAATTTTTTATTTTGTAAAAATATAAAAGAAATTTTATTCTTGAAATACCTTTTAAAAATTCAACAACAAAATGACAATAAATTTTAATTAGGTATTGACAAAAATATATTAGAAGTTTCAGTAAATAAATTATATAGCTTATTGAATTACAATTTTGTAATTTGGGTTTTACTTCCGACATAATCGTATGTTAATTCATGTATTATAACAAATTTGTTCATATGTCGGCGATTAATTCCAGTTTTAAAATTTCCTTTATATTTGAAAGTTTTGCTTTGAAAGTTTTATAAAATATATGTAATTGTATGGATGCTGAAATCACATGTAATGTTGTGTTTTTTTTTGGTCCATTGTGTTAAGTAAGCTCTCGCTTCAGATTAAAAATTTCACTTCAGCCAAATTTAGAATATATGTACATGTTTGCAAGAAAACTAGGATTATTGTCAATATATCTATATAATTTTTAAATTTTCCACCCATAACTGATATGAATATACAAGATATTTAATACTTATTTAACATTTGATATATTTATTAATTAAAAATATTTTTATTAAAATTATATTTTTCATTTTGCTTCGATCATTACAACTTTTATTGCTTCTTTTGAGAATAATATAATAATAAAAATGGCTCAAAGAAAAATGGTACACTTGAGGAAAGAACACAAATTACAAAAATTTACGGTATATCATAATATAACATATAGCAAACAACAATATTACAAGTTAACATACGATATAAAAGAATGATAAATTGACTTTTTATATATGTTGTAGGTTCTTTTGACTAAATTCAAAAATGTTGACGAATTAATAATTATAATTTTTTTAATTCTTAATGTAGTTTAATTCTTTGTTCTTAATGTACTAATCTATCTCTAAAATTATCTTACATTTGCTCTAAATAACAAATGGTTATTAAAATAAGACAGGAAGTAGTAGAAATTCTTCAATTATATCATAGTTTTAAATCGATATCATATTATACTTTCTACTTAGCATGTAATAACAATTACTCAACCAGTAAAAAAATGAAAAATTCTAATTTAAGTGCAAATACAATTTGTTAATCTAAAAACTTTACTTTAACTAATCCCCATATTTATACATCATATTGTTTTATTAAATTTATTATTTTTCATATTCCGTTCATTTACATATTTTTTTGATAACTAAATGAAAAAGAAATTTTTAAACTAACGAGCTAGTTTTTTATAAACTTTCCTTAAACCCAAAAAAGTAAAAAAGAAAATACTTCTAAAATAATAATGTAATCTTTAATATGACTATATAATATATGAAAACTAACTATGTATATAAAAATTATTTTATATGCTACCATTATTTTATATATTCATACCAGAAAATTAAAATCGATTTAAAGAATAAAATTCTAAATAGAACCTTTATTTAAATTTGTAAAGTTATTTTATTATATCGAAGATTTAATTGTAATGAGCCAAATGAATTAAAAGCAAAATTGCTTGTAACATATGTATTAAAAGTATTTATACATTGCTATAGCGTTATATAATTTCAGAGGAAATATTAATACATGAAACTAAAGTTATTATAATTAATTGATTTTCTGCACTGAAATTCTTAATAATTCTAAACTACAAAATCAAGTTTAAATTATTTTATATTTTACATTATATTTATAAAAAAAAATATTGTCTAAAACTTAAAAATCTTTATTTAAGAACATTTTTTCAAATAAACCTTTGAATTATGAGTAATCGCTAAGATATACTATAGGAACATTATGACAAATTAAATAAATCCCAAATTTATATGAATAAGTATTAAATAAATTAATTATTGCATATCAAAGAAAAAATTTCAAATTAAAAGAAAATGTTTTTGCCACTAAATTCACTAAAATATTAGTATATAAATAACTACTTTAAGTAATTATATAATAATTTCATGCGAATCTTTTATAAAAATAATATTTATAATCAGTAATAAGATAAAAGAAAAACTCAACATGACTATGTTTTAAATAAAATTCTATATATAATGAACTAAGCTTTTATATAATAAATAATTCGAATTTATTTTAAAGAATAACTATGATATATTTAATTTTTTTAATAAGAAAATTAAGAAAGTAGTATTATACAATTGCATGTATGATTGATAATATTGTTCATTTGAATTTCTTCAATATTTCATATTGAAGTTGTTTTTCTTTCATTGAATTTTAATGTTTCTAATTAATAAATTTATAATAATGTATACTAGTACAAATTCTTTCTAATAAATAAGATTATAACTATTGTAGTAATCTAAATATATTACAAATAAATACTAGCTTTATATGATGAATAGTAAATTTAGTTATAAATCTAAAGCTTGCACTAAAAAGTAAGAAATTAAAATCATTTTACACACGTTACGACAACGACATGAAAACAATATTTTTGTAAAAATAATCATTACAATCATCACTTAATACAAAAATTTTGGTAAATATCGTAAAAATTAAATACATATTTCAATTTACAATTAAAATATTTGTAAATTTCAATAAAAATATAATCAATGAACGAATTTTCAAACAATTAACTTAAATTTTGTGACCAAGATTTTATTTCCAGATTCCTATGAATCTGCCTCAGACACAGTATTAAAAAAAATTAGTCAATAAAACCGGGTATGAAAACCGGGTATCAATTTATTGAAAAACTAATTCTCTTTGATACAAGCTTTGCATTATTTAAATTGCATTTTTACTATTACTAAAGCTAGTATAAATTTTTATAGAAAAAACAATTGTAAAAAATTTAAATTAAATTTCATAATTCTAGTTTTTATTACATAATAAACAAAATGGATATTCTATGAATATTTATTAATAATTATAATATGTATGAATAGATTTAAATTTACACTTATTATATAATAATTAAATTTTTTTAATAATAATTTTGGTTTTCATTGAAAAAATTATTTAATTTCCTTTGTTTTTTAATTTAAATTTAATTTCAATTTGTACTAAAATAAATAACAACAATTTTAACTAAAATTTTTTATAAGAAATAATTTCATTCAATTAATTAATTAATTAATAATAAATATTTAACTAATTATAATTAAAATTTTATTTGTTAATATTTTCTTTTTTTATAAAAAACATTTTTATTGTATTTTTTCCTTTTTAACAGAAAATAAAAAAGAATTTAAGTATAATTACTTCATAATATAATTGAAAACTATTATACTTGGTCTAATATGTGTCTATTATTTCTTTTATTATGATATTAAATTAATTAATATGGAAATAAAGTATTTAATTAATCTTTTATCTTTAAATTCTCATTTAATATTTTTTTACTTTAATTTAAATATTATAATATTTTTATATGTTTTTTTTTTTTGGAAAACAGCTTTTTATTGACTAGAGGATGGATTATTTCATTTATTTATTTTTGTTATAATTATGTTTTTTGGTTTTGTTTGTATGCATTTTTTTCATTTAATTCTTTTGAATTCAATTTCTATAAATGTTAAATGAATATTTTATAACCATAATATATAATTATGATTTTTTTTAATTAATATAATGTAATATGTATATAGTATTAAGGGTCATAGTATAAATTTTATAATGTGTTTAGAATTACCATTATGTTTTTCGATATTGTGTTTTATTTTTTGATTGAATAATAAAAATTATAATTTTCTTATATTTTTATATTCTTTTAATTTTTAGTGGTACTATTCACACATTTCAAATGTTGTGTTTTCAAGTTAATTATGGTGTTGATAAATATTTTTAATTGTGTACAATATTTGTGTAGATAAAAATTTAGAACTAAACCTCAGTTTACAAGTATCTGAAATTTTACTATTTCTATGACATAAAACTTTTTATTTATATTTGAAATTATAAATGTACAAGAATAAGAAATTTTTTTAATTATATCAAAACAAATCTTCATTTACGATGATACTTGCTTTCAAACACCACTCCTTCAATTCAGTTCTCTGATTCTTGTGTATTTCTTACATTATACAAACGCGTGAATAATACGCAATTACTAAAAACTTTTTTATATTTGCCATCAGAATTAAGGGTTACAATTATGGCTTAGTTTCTTTTTTAATTTAAATATTTCAGTACACTGATTTTAATAAATGTATATAGTATGTATGTATGTATTTAATATAAAAGTAATTTTAATATGAAAATAAATTTTTTTATTTTATTTTAAATAGTTCTATTATACAGTTAAGTCTCATATCCTGTCTTATACACATATATATTATAATAAAGAATACTAAATATTACATAACAAAATAATCAAAACAACAAAATAAAGAAAAATTAAAAATAATTTCAGGAACTCTATAAAATTACAAAATACTTAATTTTTAATTAAACTATGAAGAAAGCAAATTAACTAATAATTTTTTATATAATTTTAACTTTTTGGCAGTTGTTGCAAATTCTGTGTATTTTTTATAGAAATTATTCAATTTTTCCCGTTTTATTGAGCTTTTAACTACGTTTTTGTTTTCTAATTCTTATAGATAGCATTAATTTGTTTATTTTTATCTTTGTTAACTTAAACTAAAATATAATATTTTTTGCTTTTTTCTTATATGTATAATGAAATCACATACTAGTTATTATTTTCATTTCAATTTAATTTCTCTATTAATTTTTCACAACTCAATTTTTTTTATAATTTTTATATCGAAGATTTTTATAAATTTAATGCAAAAAAAAATTAAGTAATTATGGTCAATGAATTTTATTTTTATTTTATTTTTTTTAATTTAATTTTGTATTTTCGAATTGTGCAGTTAATTCAACACTCTGATCTTCAAGACTTTTTTTTAAATCTTCAATTGTACTTAGTATTAATTGTTGTTTAACACTTAAATTTGATACAACACTTACAGAATCTTCGTCATTGGATTGATATGCTGATTGATCCTGAAGATTATTATTATCACTGTTAATATTATTATTGTTGTTACTCTTGTCGTTAATATTGTTAGAACTTTGCAGATTGCAATTAACATCTTGTTTAGAATCTCTATTTGAACAAACTTGTTGATCATGTTGAATAGAATGGATTTTACTGAGCATGCTTTGTGGTTTCGGAATTTCTAAAAATTAAATAAAAATATCTTTATCAAATTTTACAGGAAACTTTTTCACTGATGTTTTGATTGAATTAAAAAAAAAAAACTTTAAAAAATGCACATTTATTTTCAAAGCAGTTTCAAAAAGTGTCTATTCTTTGCAGCAAGAATACTGTTGAAACTTAATTACAAAATAGCTGAATTTGAAAATATTCAAGCTATTTTAAATGTAGTTATATGGTAATTTTTTGAATATTTTATGTTATATTCTATATGAATACACCTAAGTATTTAACTTTAATATGAGTATATTTGAATATAATAAATAAACTTAACAGCAATTTTAAATTGCTCATACCTGTATCAATATCCAAACTCTTTTTGATTCTTTCAAAAGATGAACTTCCCTTATAAATTTTTCTTTTTAGTGGTTCACTTTGTGGGCAATAACCACCCATTTCAATTATTTTATTACCCATGTCAACTGATTTAAATGATATTAAAGGCTGTTTATTTTGGAATGATGGACTTTTCGCCATATAGTCTGAATATTCAAAAATATAATTATCATCTGAATTTATTTCAGATTTATTTTTTATGTGATTATTAATTCCATGTTCGACATTCTTATTATCTTGGTCCATTTCTAATTCGACTGTAGATTTTCGAGATGAGTATGAAACTGAATCTAATGATTTTTCATTCAATTCTTCATCAGAATTAGAATTTGAATAATTGGAGAATGTGCGCGCAAAAGACTTATCACCAAAATTTCGTCTAGGTATTGGAGGTGGTGGTGGTTGTGTTACTGGGGGCGGTGGTGATAATGATGATTCTCGATTAAATTGACGATTACGAATACTAAGTGTTTGTTGATCATCTGATGATAAATGTTCATTGGAACGATTTTTACTTGATACCGGATTCGTTCGCCATGCTATATCTGATGAAGCAACTTGATTTATAAAATTAGTTAAATGAGTTTTACGTGGACTTAATCGTCCACATTTTGGGCTTGTTGGTACTGAATTCGAAGAATTATATTCATGTCGCAACATTTCTAGCCTCTTGTTTATTAGATGCTCCGAAGTAGTTGTTGAATTGTCTGAATGTTGTTGTTGTTGCTGATAATGTTGTTTTTGTATTTCACGTTTAAGGTCAGCATCACATTGACGTAGCATTTCAACCCGTTTATTAGCCGGTGGATTTAATATTCTTCTTGACGGACTAGCAGCAGGCGTTTCTCTAGGTAAACTAAAATTTCAAATTTCAATTAAGAGTCAATTATACATGGATTTATCAAAAGCTTACCTAACAGCATTTGCTTTCATCGATACTAAAATTGATTCAGCTTCATGTATTAACTGCTTATATTTAATGTCAGCCTCAAGATCAGCTTTCAATAACATTTTCTCACTTTCAGCTATAGCAATATATTTTTCTCGAACTGTATGAACTTCTGTTAATGTTAAAGAATTCGATCGCTGCTGATGTACTAATGGTGATATTTTTGTCTCACTAAAAATTTTAATTAATATTGAAATTTTAATTTCTTTGTTTAAGTCAGAGAAAAAAAAATTTTAAATATACTGTTTTTTGTCCCTGGATGATATTCGACGACGCAAGCATACTGGTGTGCCACCGACGCTTCGGGATTCCCTTTTATTTTTCAAAGGTGATACTTGTCTCTCTTTAGATTCGCAGCTCTTCTTTCGAGTTTTCAAAAGACGTTTTTTCCGTTTTCCACTGTTCGAAATATTTGTTACTATTTCCTCATTCGTTTTCCTAGATCTTCTATTTTTAGACATTCGACGTTCTGGATTAAATATATAATAAGAGCAGTTGCCAGTGTTCTTGCATACTTCAGATTTTTCAACAATCTCTTGTATCGATCCGGTATCAATGAAGTCGATATCAAGTAGATCTTCTGTGTCATATTCATCACCAGCATCTTGCCCTGTATCTATATCTGAATTGCAATGAGTTGGATCAGAGTCATTGCTATAAAAAAACGCGTACATGAATCAATTTTTAAACTCAAAATTTTATTTCTAAATGTTCTAGGTTTTTACCTTAATATATCAGTCTCTTTTTCATATATGTAGCTTTCGTCAAATTTTCCCATCATTTCATTTAAAGTTGTATCTTCGTCACTATCTTGTTGAATCGAAAAATTATCATTCTTATAAGGGCGATTCTTAACATTTTGGCTTTTGCTTGTAAAATCAACAGAGTTAAAAACTTGATCTGTTGATAGTGGCCGAGAATTCTCCATTCCATTTTCATCTTGCTGTTTAAAATTTTTTTCGCGCAGTTGAATCTTTTTGGAAAGATCAACTTCAACCTCTGTCGAGGAACTTTCAGATTCTTCTTCGGAAACTTCAGATGATTCTTTTGATTTCCTAAAAGTATAGAAAAAGTTTGTGGATAAATTATAAATTTCTGTAATTATACTCAATAGACGTAACTTACTCATCATCTACCATACTAGTTCGGATATCGCTATTTGATTTTATACCGGAAGAGGATGAGCTCGTGTCTAAATCGGTTTTCTTAACGGAATGGGATGTACTTGTGGAAAATGAACTTTCAGGTGTAGAGTACCAAGGATTAGTTCTGATTCGACTTCGTTGCCTTGGTGAAGGAGCTAAAATGATAGTGAAAAGATTATTGTAGTAAAATGTTACTGCGAAAAGCATAAAATATTTTACATTCATAACCTCTGCAATTTACAATTAATGCATTACTATTATTTTGAAATTGTGGTGTACTACTGTTACGCCCCTGATGTTGTTGCTCAAAATGTTGAATATGTTCGGTATGTTTCTTTTGAAAATTTTGTCCATCAATTAATTCCATATGAGTAATTTTAATTTGATTTAAATCATATGATTCAGTACGACGATGATGATGAGTTGACTTAATTGGAAATATTTTATTTAAAATTTTATTCAATATTGTTTATTTTAAATAAATTTACCAAAATTTCTTCTATTTTATTTAATCCAAACTTTTGTCTAGAAAGTTCAACACCTAATGCATTAGCATTTTTTGGAAAATAATGAGTTCCAGTTCGCATATTAATGTAATATTCCGGCGGGGTGTAAGTTGTTCCTAAAAATAATTGACAAAGCAAAAAATTGCAGTAAATAAAATAAAGGAGCGAGCTCTTGTGAAAATAGTGGTTCACCCAAGTAATTTTACCTGGTGATGTTCCATCAGTTGAATAACCAGTTGAATAGGCACTTTCAGGTGAAGACAAGCTATTAATGACATGTGCCAAAGGGTGATTACTATTTGGCTGGGGTGGTTGTTGGCTGTTCGTTGGACCAATCATACTGTTCTGTCTACCATTTCGATTATGAAGATTTGTTGAACCCATTACTAAATAATTTGTTGTGTTAGTTGTTGTTACACGATTAATTTCATATGAAGGATTTCTTGATTTAGTCGTTGGGTGAATTGTTGCTTGATGCGATTTAATATGTGAATTTAAAGAATTTTGTTCTGTTGGATTTATTCCCCCACATACCATTTCGTAGTAACCAGATTCAGTTAATTGTTTTCTTTCAGATTTTTTAATTTTCCCTTTAACTGCATTATTAGTATCAATATTGTTATTGTTGTTAATAGTACTATTACTGCCATTATAGTAGTAATTGTCAGGATTTTGATACTGCATTTGGTGTTGATAATAATGTGGTGATAGATTTGCATTAAGTTTATCATAATTTTGATCATTTACAATTTGAGATTGTGCGCTTCGATCAGCAGACCCTGAAGAATTACTAAATATTTTTTTATAGGTTTTCGCAAAAGCTGATGTCGATGTTGATGATGATTTTGTTGTTGATGCATTGATTTTGTTCATATCTGATTTAGGATTATGGCAAAGTGCTGAATAAGTTTTCATATCCTAAAATTAAAAATTATATTTTTAAGAAATTAAAATAATAATGTAACAACTAGTTTTACCATATTATTATTTTGATAATTAATTTTGCTTTGGTGGCAACTGTTGGAGTTGGCACTAGGTTCAAATTCGGTAATTCTTTTAAATTGTTTTTGATCCGTGGGAATTTGTATTGATTGATTGCATTCTAACGAATTATTTGAATTCATACGATTCATAGGGTGAGATATTGAACTGTTTTCAAATTTATTACGATTTCGCAAATTTTCTATTTCTGATGTTTTAAATGACGATAATTTGTTATTTTGTTCATCCGACTCACGTTCAATATGCCGAATATTACGCTGTTGTTGATGTTGATGATGTTGGATATATTGTTGATCCATACTATTCTGTTGATTTGTGTAACATTTACTCTTCAATATTTCAGCTGTATTTGATGAATTCATTTTATAATTTCTATCATCTATTGTTTTCGAATTATATTGCATATTATTAGATTTGGAGTTATTATTATTATTATACATATTGTGTAATGTATCTTGATCTCCACTTTTAAATGTACTATGTGCTACTGCTTGCTCTGATTTTATGTTATAAGCTGTACTATCGAAAATTAGATTTTTTGAGTTGTCTAATGTATGATGTTTTTGAATTCTTGAAAAATGTTCGGATTTTGGTGACATTATTTGATTTTTATTACCATGTGTTGGTGAATGCCAACCAAATCGGCTAGTTTTCTAATAAAAATAAGAAAATGAATCGTAAATTAATAATAAATTAAACACAGTAAAATGTCTATAATTTTATGTAAATAATGTATTTTTCAAAACAATTTGAAAATATCTAAATATTTTATTTTGAAGTGACAATCAAAAATAAATGTTTAGTATGTGAAAAACTAGAAATATTTTTACATAATGTGTATTTAATACAAATCTGTTTAATACTAAACCGTTTACATATTTTTCAAATGATTTTTGGTTATCCATTAAATAATTTTCTAAAACTTTGTTCCATAAACTTTAACTAAAATTATTAATTTGTGCGGACATATTTTCACATTGTTTTTATTTTGTCAATATTAGTTAAAGACATATGTATGTATATTTTATTTACATGACATTGAATTGGTGATACTTCATGACGTCTTGCAGGACTTGGTACTGAGTTTGTTCCATTACCAATAACTGCCATTGTATTCGGTCCAGGAATACTATCGGCATTATATATACCGTATGATGTTCCTAAGTAACCACTTTGTGTATTATAGTTTGTTGTTGGTACTGATGACGATGATGAATTGTTACAACTGCAAAATAAAAGTATAATAAAGTTTATATATAAAATATTTAAAAAATTTTTATATGTATGTATGTACGAATATTTTCTTGTAAGAATTTTCGGTATTCTTTTCCAAGTACATAATTTAAATCTTTTATTAAATCTTTAAGTTATCTTGTTGTGTGTAATTATATGGATCTACTAAAATTTTTGTAATGGCCAGTAAATTTAATATTGTGTATATTTTGAATATTCTGCTTTAATTTTTCTAGTTTTTATCTTTCATTTTATATTCTTAATTTTTGTTTTTTATATTTCGCTATATACGATTTTTTCATTTCCCTAAAGTGCTCTTATCAGGAAAGCTACAATTTCAAAGTGAACTATAAAAATACACAATATGCATACATGTAAGGAATGGATTGTTAGATTTTTTGATTATCCGTCAACCCCCTCTCTATAATTTTTATAACTTGTAAATGATTTTTAGTTAGCCGTGCGGATACATTACATTAAGATTTCCAGCTTTAATAAAAATATTTACAAGAAGAAACGATAACCTAGTGTCATAAACAAAAAAACTGCTATTTAATCAAAAAAGCAATTGGTTTGTTTTCGAAAATAATAATAGACCCAGTCTATAACTTGAGAAAAAATGTAAAATATCCAATTGAAAAAATTTAAAATCCAATTGAAACAATTGAGAAGAAAAAGCGAGATACACTATTAGGCTGTATGTCTCGATCACCACTGCCAAAAGTGAAGATTTATTTTCAAAATGAAGGTTTTGTATTCATATTTTTGGAACAAATTTCAAAATAAGATTTTTAAAATTTCTAAATTTTACATACAAAAATATCTTCAAAATTAAAATTTTTTTATGCTACTGAAGTTTTTCAAAATTGAAATTCCAAAGTTAACAAAAAAACATTTCAATCAAAAAATCAATTTAATAGGCATCGCACAGTAACGCTACTTCCATGGCAGAAAATGTATTCTCCGCTTCAATTAATTCTATATGACTTGGCGCAATAACTAAGTCCTCATACAGCTTATGACATCGTACATCATTGTGCATGTCATTAATTTTTTTTTTTGATGTCCGATTTGGTTCGAAACTTTTTTTTCTTTAACTTCAATTGAAGATCTGGAACGGTTCGCAAAGATTTTATTTTAAAAAAATGAAGGTATTGTGCAAATGATGTCTAACTTAAGAAAAAATGATATTGCTCTAAAAAGAATTTAATGATCGGATGGTAATCCTGAATTTTATACTTAAATTTGTACTTGTATGAAGAAATGTAGCTTAATAATATCAAATTTTAAATAATATATTTTATACATATGTGCGTATGAATATATATACTTATATAAAAGTATAATATCTAGGGCACTTGAAAAATAAACATGAACACATAAAAACATAACCCCCAACAATTTTAACAATCTTAAAAGATAAAATATACACTCTTTTTTTTTGTGGAATTTTACTTAAATTTTCGAAATAGAAGAAAATCAGTATATTAAGATAAAAGATAAAAAAATACAATAAAAGTAAATTATATTATCACCAGTCAGTCCGAAATAATATACGTATACATACAATGTAACACAACGGTAATAATATAAGAAGAAAAACAAGAATAAAAAATACAATAAAATTCAAGAAAATGTTAGGAAAAATCCCTTAACTTTTGTGGAATTTTATTCGTTTTTTTTTTATTTTTTCCTTTTATTTTTTATTAATGTTTTACTTTTTTTTTAACTCCACTCTTTCACTCTTTGTCAATGTTTCTCTTGGCTATACTTATAATTTGTTGCTAAGAAGTGTTGAATTGATAGTAAATAAAGCCACAATTGACAATATTTTGACTAAGCATTTTTATATCTTTTTTTTTCTGTGTTATTTATTATTTAATTTTATTTTCAAACATTTTTTATATTCTTGACCCAATGGAATGAAATAATAATCGTTCCAATTTTCTTGATTTTTATTTTATTTAAAGATTTTATTAATTTTGATAGCAAAAAACCAATGATAAAAAAATAAGTGTATACGATATAAGACACGTATAAGGTTCTTTACCATACCTTGAACGGGTTAAATAAATAATTTAGATAACTTTAGTTCATAAACATCTTGGTTGTTTTTTTTTTATATTATAAACAACTTAACCTCAATAATCTGATAATTTATAACATTTTTTAAATTAAATAGTGTCATTACTATATTATAGTATACATAATATGTACTAGGTATGATGTGCGAAGTTTATTTTTTTTAATAATGAACATCAGATCAAAAAAATGCACACATCAACAAAAAATATATAAATTACTTGAATTTTAAAATTGTACTTTGGTGGTTTTAAGTAAGTAAAGTAAGTAATAATGCTAAATAAATAAACACAATTTTTTGCATTATTTTGCAAAATTTATAAGATGAATTTTCATTCACGTTATTATTTGAACAAAATGCAGTCATTTTAGCTTATGAAAAATCATAACATTGTTATTAATATTTTAAGCTAGAACTTTGCAATGTATAGTTTTAACTTGTCACTATTTGAATTAATATAGTCTCCATGTATATCTTAATTTTAGATGCAATTTTTCAACTTAAAATGATAATAAATACTCTCTATTGCAAAATGTGCAAGTCACAATTCATTATTATAGTTACCATGAGATTTCATCACATAATATTTTTATAAATTTAAAAATTACATTTTATAGTTGAGTTTCATTAAAAATTTAATTTAAAAAAGAATTAATTTTACACAAAATTACAAACTTTTAAAAATATATTTCATATTTCATTGTATTTAACTACTAGCTATACACATATGTATGTGAAAATTCCACAAACTCGATACTAGATCATATTTTATTAACACAAAAAACCCAAATTTTTGAATCATTTGAAATTTTGAATCAAACAAAAAACCCAAATTGACTAATACCATCTCTGATTCAAATAAAAATTGAAAATTGACAAAAAAAGTATATTTATTTCTCCAAATCACGTATTAAAGTCATGTATTTTATATAAGCACTTTCCAGACCAGACATTATTTGCGTATATACGAGTATCTAACGTTAAATTAACGAAAAAATGTTCTGAATATCAATTTAACTCACACATACATTTATAAAACCAAAATGTTTGGTTTGCGAAATTAAATAATTTGCTGATAGTGCATTTTATATTATTTGAAAATTTTATATATGAGAAACGAACAAAAAAAAAATATTTTTTTCATTTTTTTTTAAATCTGGATATTATCATTTTCATTTTATTATTCATTCATGTTTTTCGCTTATTAATAAAAAAATAAAATAATAAAATATTGTCATCATAAAATGTTCGATGTATATAGGTATAATAAATTTCAATTCCATTTGAAATATGCTTTTAGTACATTTATGGTTCATAGGTAACTGCAAATTCTGTCTTAATAAAGAAATTTACCTTTAATTTAAAAAATATAGTAAATATAAATTGAACTTGTTATTTTTCCAGGTTTATATTAAAAATGCACATATTCCTGAACAAAGCACTTTGTAATAGAGGTGCACCCTGATAGGTACTGAATTCATTATTAGGACATTCGTAGGGACTTGTAAGTGAAGAAAGTAAGCTGTTCCATGAAACATGGGGCGCATTTGGAACAGTATGTAAATATTGAAGCCTTCGACTTAAAGGAGAGATTTTAGGTTGGTCAAAAGTTTCCCACTATTGAAAGGTCTGACGACTGTTTGTATCCCCCTATCTTTGTCTTTCGATGATTTTTAATATCTGTATTTAAAAAAAAAAGTTTCTCAAATATATTTTTACATGCTCTGAAAAGTATTTTACTAAAAATTTTTTCTTCCTCAGAAAAATTAATTAAACTTCAAGGAAATGCAGCCCATGTTCAAGATTAAATTAAAAACTTCGATTTGGTTTTACTCAAATGATAATCAAATATGATGTCAAAAATTTGATTGTTCGTTAAAATTAATATTTCCTTATTTAGTTCAAAAATTCATGATATAGTAATTTTTTATTGATTCTAAACAACCTAAGGTTTAAAACACACAATTTTTCTATTCCTTTTAAATAAAAAGAGAATTTGTAAAAATATGAATGAAACTCTAATTAAATTTTATATATAGTTTTAACTATAATATAAAATTAAAATAATACCAAATTTGACTTAAATTTTAATTATAAAAATATTAAAAGTTAGAAAATACTTCCCAAGTAAATATATTAATTTATAATTTTAATATTATATAATATTTCCATCCGTATTAAATTTACTATTTTCATGTATAACAATTTCGGTTGTTTAGTTTAAAAAGATTAAGAAATAAATTTCAACAAAATTCCTACGATAATATCGGAAGCTCTCTCTACAAAAATTAATAGTATCCTATGTTAGGAAAGTATAATAAATAATAATATAAAATTTTAATTCCTTATTCTTATTCGAGAAACGTATTATATTAGCCTATATACATATACATTGTAAGAAAATAATATGAAAATTCAATTACTCTGCTATAAATATTCTGTATTATACTCTGAAAATTACAATTTTCAAGGTTATTAAATTTATAATATCTACATAAAATTCAATATACTTTTTATATGAGCATACTTTTAAGATGAAAAACTCAAATCTTAATTCTTTTAATATTATATATCTGATATTATAAAATATGTGCCACATACTTTTGTAGTCATATAGTATAACGAATTTAATAAAATATTATAATAAGAAATATAACAAAGTCGCTATGTAGGTTTAAAATAATTTTCGAAAATTCTTAAACTAAAATAATAAAAATATACATATATATATAAAAGATTTTGTGGAACCATTTCAAAATACCTGGAACCATTTTTATTTTTATTTCCTTTTTTGCGTGGTCGGACTATGTGATTTTCCATCCATGATCGAATTTTCGAACCAAACATCATATATTTTTAATAAATTTTTGTTTTTTAATTTTTATCCTTTTTTTATGATTAAATTTCCAGGTATTCTTTATTTTCTTTTTTTTTTCCTGTCTTGTTTTCCTTGTTTGTTTTATTTTATTTTTTAAGTTTTATTATTTATTAATTTAAATTTCATGCATAGAATTGGTGGATGATTTTTGATGGAAAATTATTTCTGAAAGTATAAAAGAAAAAAAAAGTAAATTATAATAAAAATAAATTAATAATAATAATAATATTATGAATAGTACAAGGATCTACATAATTTTATGTAAAAATTAATAAATAAAATTTAAATATTTTAATAAGATAATCAATCCAATTGTATTTTAAATTATATTTTATTTTATTTTTGTAATTTAAAAGAAAAATTAATATAAAATTATCACTCCAAAAAAAAAGAATGGTTGGAATATAAAGATGGAACTATAATGCAACAAGGACATTTTTATGATATGGAATATGTAATGATTAACGTAAATAATTAAAATTTTTAAATCCACTAATAGATAAGGTAGGATTAAATGATTGTGAAAAATTCCTAAAAATTTTGTTGAACGTTAATGACAAATTACAAGATAAATTCACTACAAATTAACCTTAACCTTATTAAGCTTATAATAATTTGTAAATCTATAATGAACTTTATTGATATTTAATATTAAATTTTATATTCTAAATATTTTCAAATTATAAGTTTCAATTTTAATACGAAAATATATTGCTAAATTTTGTTTTGTTTAAAGCATGCCTTTGAATTTAAAACAATTGTTATCGTACATGATATGTGGATATGGATCAAAATCGCACTAGACCTTTTCTAATAATTAATTTGCTCTGGATCCCTTTATCGAAATTGCACAAAACTAATAACAAAACTAATAACAAAAATTTAAGAAATCCCATCGTTCAGTTTTGAAATAAACTGTTATTAAACTTCAAACACGATTTTCTCGATTCAAAAGTCATGGCGTATGGATCAAAATAGCACTCAGCCGACGAACGATATATGAACACAAGCTCGAATTAAACATTTTCTAGCTATACTAAATTTTTAATTACAGTATACTTATAAAATATCTGAAATTTTGATAAAAGTGTTTCACTATTCAAGTTTACAAACATTCAGCTTATTTTAAGTTTGGGTAGTATTTTTAAGAAAAATACACCAACTTCTAATTGTAATGTCATTTATATAGAGTTATTATATGAACAGTTTGTACAAATATAATTATATTGTTATTTAATATATTTTATGTAGTTATTTAAACGGTTCAATAATAACATTTTATATAAGTATACATTTTCCATACAAAACCTTTAATATCCATTTCATCTTATTAGAAGACAGAGTTATTATATGAACAGTTTGTACAAATATAATTATATTGTTATTTAATATATTTTATGTAGTTATTTAAACGGTTCAATAATAACATTTTATATAAGTATACATTTTCCATACAAAACCTTTAATATCCATTTCATCTTATTATGATGAAATTAGGCGATATTAACAAATTCGAAACAACATTTTTAATCTTTATGTTACACATATTACTACACATATTATTATTTAGTTACATTTTACATTAATAAAATTACCAGCATAAGTTTCTGAAGCCTATAAATAAAAATTGGTTCATATCCTTTACGAAAATTCCCCCATAAATAATGCTTTTCTTTTACTATAATTCCTTTTTTTAGCACTTTTCCAAAAAATTTTTTGAAAAAAGTGCTTATTAGTTTCACTCTGTCCGTCCGTCCGTCCGTCCGTCCGTCCGTCCGTCCGTCCGTCCGTGTGTCTGTTTACAAAACTTCTACACCCTTGAAGATAGAAAGCTGAAATTTTATATATACATAGATCTTTACTAGAAACTTATTTTCGTAGAACAAAATTTTTACCTATCTCCCCCCCTCTAGAAGTTATACCCCCCCAAAACCCTAAAAGTGGCCTTTTTTAAATATTTGTTGCAATGAAACCATAAGCATTTTTGAAATTTCGCAAACGCAGAAAGGCAGCGGCTTGCTTCCCCTAGCGCAGTATGCTATAGTTAAACTTTAGAAAAACAAAATGGCCGTTGAAATTTACCGTTATCTAAAGTCCTTTTTTTCCAAATTTTTGATGTCGTTTTTCTTCTAGATCCTATATTCTAGAACTTTGAAATTTTAGGGACTTTTAGACATTAACAAGTAGTTCATTTCGTTAGAAGAAATTTTTTTTCCATCTCCACCCCCTCTCAAGTTATCACCTCTTGAAAATCGTAAAATTTGAATTTTTGACACCCTATATTTCCGAAACCGCAAGCTTTTCCAAATTTTTATAAACGCAAAAAGCTAACGGTAAATTCCATGACACTAAAAAATATAATTATTTTTCTTAACTCACACAATTAACCCTTAAAATCGAGCATTATGTTAACCCCTTTTTATGTTAATTTTTGCTTTAATTCAAAGACTGCATATATGCGTCATCCTAAATATATGCAATCCTAGTAATAGTTTTGTATATGAATGAAAATAATTTTTATAGTGTGATAGGTATACATAGACTGTATTTAAAAGCAGAATTTTCACTTGTTGAAGGGAAAAGTGCTACAATACAAACCATTGGTTTGACCCAACTTTATTTTAATATGAATTCACTTGAATAATTGGTTATTAATGTGTTTTTAATAAATTTGATCCTATATATGTATGAACCTACTTACATATAAACAATGTATTATTCAAAGATTTTCTTTTTGCTTTGATAATTGTCGTAATGAATTATGCCATTTGAAAAAAATGAATAAATAAATGAAATTAATAAAAATTCCTTAACTAAATTGCTTAAATATATTTTAAATCTTTGAAAATTAATTTAAGAAAGAAAAAAAAAGGAGAAAATTAAAAGAAAAATTTTATCAAGATCTCCTGGAAATTTTTTATTATCATAATATATTCTTCGTTTTTTCTTTTTTCTTCTTTTTTTTTATGAATATAAATGGCATAATTTTAAGCCAAATTTATCATTCTTTTTATTTATAAGCTGAATACGATTGTAGAATTTCAAAAGCTAAATTAACTATTCCAAATAATTTTCAATCAGAAATTGCAAAAGAAAAGAGAGAACCGAAGAAAGATGAAAGTTAAGAAAAACATAAAAAAAAATAAAAATAATTCATGAAAAATTTAACCTTAAATTGTAATCCTAAAATAAAATTATCCTGGAATTTTTTTTTTCTCCTCTCATCAATAAAGATGTACGCAGTAAATGTACGATGAAATTTTTATTTTTTTTTTTTTTTTTGTGTTTTTATTAAAAACAATAATTGATGAAGGTCCTTTTATCCTTTACAATTCTTTTTTTATTTAATTTTTTTTTCTGGTTATTTGGCTTTATTTTGGTGTGAATCGTTTTTAGCATTACAAGATATTCTAATAACAATTTTTATATAATACCGCCATATACATACGTATATAAAATATATTATTATAACAATAAGTGTTTGAAGTAAGTAAGAATACTTTCATGTATCCTGTATAATATATAAATGTGTACATAAATATATTTATCATAATATATTTAACACAAGGATCGTCATAATTTTTTTTTTCATCTTTCAAGAAAAAGAAATCCAAGAAATGAATAAAAAATTGTGCAAATTGGTAATTGGAAAAGAAAAACGAGTATAAGAAGAAAATAAAAAAAGGGCCAACTAAAGCAAAAGACATCGCACATTTATAATAAAGAAAGAAAAAGAAAAAAAAGGATAACTTAAGTTATTCATTTCTCATCGTAATTTAATATAACAGGGCCATACATTTAAACCGACATACATATATATATATATACATACTTTATATCCAAATATCTAACATATTATACATAAATGTTACATGAAATTCTTTGATATATGAAAATGTAATCGGCAATGAAGTAGAAATTCATGTCACTAAATAAATTACATATCCATTGCAAAAAAAAAAAAAAAATCTATGTACATGAAAGATGCCTTAAGGAATCTTTTATACGATAAGCAAAACAAAATTTCAACGAGTATTAAACTTAATATATGCTTAAAAAATAAGAAGAAAAAAAAAATTATAAAGAACATTTTTTTCTTCACGTGTACATCTACTTATATATGTACACATATCCACATACATTAAAACACATATAAATATAAAATATGTACATATATGAGTGTACTTATATACGAGTATAAACCAAAACCAATTGTAATTCCTTAAGGAATAAAAATGTGTTATCCCTTAAGCTTCCTTTTTATTTCTTCCTTCTTAAATTTTTTTTTTCAAAGAGTAAAAAAAAAAAATTAGAACATTTTCTTTATTTTCTTGCTATTATTTTGTTTTTGTTTTTTATACAACATATTGAATTGCTTTCTATACTTGAAATCGCTTTTCGAATTTTCGCACTTTCTAATAAAAAGTAAACAATGAAAATGCAAAAGAATTGAAAAAATTACATATTTTATATGTGCAAAGTAATATAGTGCACAAACATACATATGTATATGAAGTATGAATTTAATATATTTTTGTATGTACTCGTACATATACATATATGGCTATATTATATTAAATGTAAGTTCATATATACAAGGTATGTAATAATATATTAAATGTGAAATTTTTCATTTGAATTTTTATTCTCTTTTCGTCTTGTTTTTATAGTTTTTATTGTTTTTTTTTATTTTTTCTTGTATGCAGAATATAGTTTTTTTTTGTCCTTTACAGTATAATATAAAAGATTTTTCATTCATTTTTAACGATTTATTTATTTATTTATTTTTTTTTTGGGTAATGGTATTAAAAAATTCAATATAAGATTTTGAAATGTTTGGAAATTAAATATTTATATATATATGCATATATATAGATATGTAGGGTATACAAGTAGTATTATCCTCTATAGTCTATATTATTCAAGAAGCATATTATTCAAGATTTCGTTAAGCGGCCATAAGAATGATAGAAACTCCAATAGGATTAGAATTTTAAATTTTTTATTGGAATTTTCAATATTTATTTGGTATTTACCATATTATATAAGAAAAACTGCAAATCAAAATAGCAATCATAAAGAGTTTCAGTAATCTTTAATTAAACTACTGAATTTGATTTTTTGCAGCTTAGACCTAATTTAAGGCATTTCGGTCATTTATTACA